TCGCCAAATGGACTGGGTGGAGCATTATACGGACGGAATAGGCACTGGCAACGTCTTCTACAATAGGCAAATCTAGACATCAGAATGATCAATGTGAACGGTCTAGCATCACGAAATCCGAAAAAAACTAACGACCTGTGGGACCTGATGAGAGGGGTGGGTGGCAGATCATGGCCGGATGTGATATGTGTGCAAGAAACCCATTTGATGGATATACTAGAACATCACAAGGCTCATAAGCAAGCCTGGCCATATCAAAGCTATCAAGCATATGCCCCGAATCCCGGGAGCTCGGGGGTGGCAATTTGGATCCCGCCTGAATCACGTTTGGAAGTGGTCCACTGGGAAAAGGACGAGGAGGAAGGACTTGGGTCAAACTGTTGGGGATGTTGGAACTAGAAGTAGTATGCATTGTATTCATATATGGCCCTAACACGACCCGCAAAAGGAGGTCCTTCTTCGAAAAAATAGAAACCCTACCTATCCCAGGTGTTCCTCTTATACTAGTAGGGGACTTTAATGCTGCGCCGGACCGGTGGATGGATCGTAGGAGGGTCGCCCACACTACCGCGCACAACGCTGAAGAAGATGAACACATGTTGACGAATCACATTATTCGACACGTTCAGGCGCAGCCACCCTAAAGAGAGGGCCTTCATGTGTTTCCAAAACAATGACCCGGTCAAACTCTCCAAATCCCGTAATCTAATCTTGGCCTTAGAAGAACTGGGGGGGGGATTATCGGCTGCAAAACTCCTACCATCCAGCCCATACCCAGGCCTCGACCATAGAATGTGCATGGCCGCCTGGACATTTCGTAAACGCCCGGACCAAGGGGCTAACTATTACAAGCTGAATACCTCCCTGCTAAAAATTAAATCCTTCCAGCAGTATCTACAGCAGGTCTGGGAGTACTAGAGGGATACCCGCCCTCAACAAGACTTACACTCTTTATGGTTCAATAATGGATTGTTCTTTATGACAAAAAAGACCAACGAATACTCTAAGCTTGTAGCTGCCCAAACAAATCAGCATGAAATCACGATCATGCAGAATCTGGTGAGCGCTGAACAAGAAAAAAACTCACAAATTTCACAAGGGCAAGGACAGAGAACCAACAAACTACAAACTCTCATACAAGACTTAAAAGATCAACTTTTTAAACATGCACAGTATCGATGGTTTGGATCCCAAACAAGAGCACGACTATCTGGATTATCTATAGAAGGGATGATGGATTTCAATTTTTTTAGCCTAGCCAGAGTAAGGGATCACAAAACTACCATTGAAGCACTATATGAACCCAGAGATAGAGACATAGGCCCGGCCATAACTTCAACACGTTGGACAAAAATAACCTACGACTTCTACAAAGATCTCTTCGCATCGCACATCAACAAAACAGACGCATCACATCATGACCGCCAAATACAGGAGTTCCTGGTACCACTAAACAAAACATTAACACCCGAGCAACGTGAAGCGATAGAAGCCCCACTCTCTAAAGATGAAATATGAACGGCCTTTCTTCAAATAAAGGAGGAGAAAGCCTCAAGAATAGACGGTTTCCCTAAGGAATTCTGGGAGGTGACGTGAGACTTTATGAGCCAAGATCTCATGTAATATTTTGATGAAGTATGGTCCACAGGAAAGATGGGAAAAATAGTGGGGCAGGGGGTCTCAACCCTCCTCTATAAGAAGGGGGACAAACTGGCCATTGGGAACTACAGGTCAATCACGCTCCTGACTGTTGTGTATAAGATGTTGTCCAAAGTCTTGGCAAATAGGATGATTCCAGTAGTGAGGGACATCATTCACCCAACCCAAACGGGGTTCATGGAGGATAGGAACATACTGAAAAATATCCTGCTGATCCACGAGATCCTTCAACTAACAAGGCAATCCCGTCAGAATGCTGCATTAGTCTTTATTGACTTTGAAAAGGCCTACCACCATGTGGATTGGCTGTTCCTGGACAAACGCCTCGAAAAAATGAACTTTTGCCCAGCATTCAGGAGATGGATACAAATCTTGCACCAAAGCTCGACTACTTGTGTCCAAGTAAACGACAACCTGTCCCCCCTTGTGCACCTACAGCGATCAGTTTGCCAAAGGGATCCTATTGCCCCCCTCCTCTTTTTTGTCATCATGGAAGCCCTATCAACCAATCTTCGGGCAAACAAAAATATCTCAAAAATTAAAATCACACGGATACCAGAAGAAGCAGTTCCAGTTTGCTCATTATTCGCGGATGACCTTACAATAATGGTTGAGGCCACGCACCGTTATATGGAGGAAATCCAACATATGATGGCCAGTTTTGCCGCGGTATCTGATATGAGGGTAAACTGGGGTTCTAAGACACAGGGTTGGTGGATTCACTACCAAGGAGGTTGGCCCCCAGATATACCGCGAATAGCCTGGCAGCCAATCGAGGCTCCAATAAGGATTCTGGGAGTATCCATGACCACCCTGGGGAAACCGCTAACAAACGACAGATGGATCCGTGCCCCGGCCCTGCAAAAACTTAACAATTGGAAGAACAAACACACATCCCTCTTTGGTCGCGCTCTAGTTATAAATAATGTAATCTTTGCGACACTCTGGTATAAGTCCCTGTTATGGCCACTGAGCAAAACAACCTTAAGGAAGCTAAAGGGAAAGGTATCAGCCTTCTTATGGAGGGGAAATTGGGAACTCACCAATGTCATAAGCCGAGTGGCTTGGGATTCAATCATCCAGCCAATAGCAGGGGGTGGGCTTGGGATAATAGACCCACCTACACAAGCCCAAGCACTGCGAGTTAAATGGATTAAGAAGCTGATCTTTACCCCTCAAAGCCCATGGTGTGTGCTGGCCCTGGAGCACCTGTCCCGATTGGCTCTTGAGTCCCCCTATACGATTCACCCTCTGACATGGTTGGAAGATCGTTACTTGTCAGTCCCACGAAAACTACCACTCAGAAGGGGGGGGGCGGAGGTACGCAACCAGACGCAGGGTAACTTTTGGCCCTCTCTGCTACAAACTTGGCGGAAGCTTCCACTCCCGGATAAGGTCTACCTTGATCGTTGGAAGAAGTCCATCGACAACCCCTCTTCGGGAATAGATGGGTAACAGACTCAAGGGGGGGTGTTATGGTAAGCTTATCCCTTCCCTGGAAGAGTTGGGTTAAAAATGGAATCCTCAACATGGGGGATTTATGGGATAAGGAGAGACAGGGTTGGAAGACAGCGGACCAAATGCGGGAGAAATTAAGATACTACCACCATGTCAACGAACTTATGGAAAACCTTATCGATATTATTCCATTGGAATGGTATCAGATCCTCAAGCGGGGCCCTACATTGAAGAAAGGGGATTGGGTAGCCGTTGCAGAGGCCCCATCGAAAGTTGGCCTGATACACTCAACTTCACCACACAGAGTCCTAGTCGAAATCTATGCTGTCACACAAGAGGGCACACTCCAAGGGAGTATGGTCCCTTTCGAATGGAAGGACAGAGCTGCAGTACTGTGTTACCGCCCGTTCATTGAACGCGCGTTCCACGTTCAGTTTATGAACGCAGTGAACGCGCGTTCACTGAACGCCCCTGAACGCGTTTGACGCGTTTGCGCAGGGGGGGCTGAAGGTTCTATGAGGGTTGGGGAGGATCCGGGAGGTGCCTGCGAGGGCACTGTGCCGTCAGGGGAGCTTGTGGGCCCGTGGGGTCCGGTTGGGAGAGTCGTCGGGTTAAAAAAAAAAAAAAAAAAAAAAAAAAAAAAAAAAAAAAAAAAAAAAAAAAAAACCAATTTCGTTGCCGGCCGGTATATAGCGGGCACGGCGTTCACGCGTGGCACAGTCGTGCAGTGCGCGTCCAGCGTTCCCCACCTTCGCTGCCAAGGAGTGAACGCACGCACGCGCGTGCGCGCGCGCGCGCGCGCGCGCGCGCG